ATAAATGATACTAACAAGCGGTGTCCCACACGTGGCTCCGGTGAAGGATGTTGGACCCCCCCCACCCATCACCCCCCACCCCCCTACGGGGGGGGGAGAATTCTGGGAGTTGAAGTCCACACATCTTCAAGTGGCCAAGGTTGAGGGACCCTGCATTGCAGCATTGCCATAAACTGCTTTCTGCTAATTTTCAAAAATTGTGTGCAGCAGCTGATAGTACCCCCCTGCCCTTAGCTAACTTCAAAAAGCAAATTAGCCCTTGGATGGGAGACCACCAGGAAACCCCAGGATTGTCAGCTAGATGGGGCAGTTGAAGTTCAACTTGAAGGAGAATTTCTCTTTACGTTACCTGCACTCTTATAATTCCAGATAAAACGATGGTCTGAACTGTCTTCCCCTGTCAAGATCTACTTCTGCGTCACCATCCTCTCATTGTTGAGTGTCATTGGATTAACCGTCGAGAACCTCTTCCAGCAGAAAGATGAAGATTTTACTGTCTCTCTCATTCAGATCATTGGCCTTGGTAATCAAAAATGGTCTTGGCTGGACAAGCCTCATAAATTAGAAAGTTGGGGGAGGATGAGCTACAATGGCACAAAAGTGGTTTTTATATTTAAATTATATTTTTGAGTGACAGCTAATCCCAGACTGAACTAATTCTTGTACAAGAGGGAAGAAGGGAGTCTTGCCAACAAATGAAGGATCATTTACAGTCATTTATATTCGGCTATAATTGTATAGGCCCTAATTTGTACACTGTCCTAGGTCTGTTCATCCTGCCTTTGGTCACAGAATCAGGTTTTAATCATGTCAGTGCCCCAAAACAGCCAGCATCACTGGCCTTTTCCTCTGGCTCCCTCCCTCCCATCACTGGCCTTTTCCTCTGGCTTCCACTAATTTCTGCATCCTTGGGGAGGGGTGGTGTTTTTTTTCCAGATTTGGACCCTCCCAGCAACGTTGTTGCCCTTGCTGATGTCTCTACCTGGTTTATCAGTTTGCTGAGTCTTCCATTGCCTTGTAAACCACAAGCAATATTCGCTCAAGGCAGTAGGTGGCATTTGAGACTATAGGAATCCTCTCGGACTTCTCCGCCACTTATGGTGCGAAGCCGTAAACTAGGGTTTGTACACCATGAGGGTTGGATTCATCCATAGCATTAAACCAGAAGCAAATCAGCCACATCACGGTACAATATGTGAATCCAGCTGTCTTGGATTATTCAAGCCAAAGTTAAAACAAACCATGGCTTATCCAGCCACTCCCCAAGGCTGTAGCACACGAAACTGCCCCTTGTTAATTAATTTGAGCATTCATTTTCCTTGACAGCTTTGTTTTTCACCGGTTGGAGCGCTGCGAGTTGCTTTAGTACTCAGTCGAGCAGAAAGGCAAAATACGAAGCTAAGGCAAAAATTAAATTAAACTTCCGAACTTTCAGATTGGTGGCAACGGGGATGGTTTTGGCCGAGAACAGAAGCTGCCTTTGCCATATCCTTTTCAGATGAAGCAAGTGTGTGCCCCAACGAAACAGGGAGGGCAACTAAAACCCGGACCCCGTGCCTGAGCTAAGGGCTCTGCTTTCAGCACAGGAAATCTTGCCTCCCCTCTTACCTGGCTGCAGGTAACCAGCCCTCTCTTTGGCAGTTTTCTGCATCTATTATGTCAGCCGGGGGATCCTGCAGGAGAATCGCCAGGAGCTGGTGGTCTTTGTCCTCTCCATTGCGCTGGTCATGCTGCGCTCCGTCATCAACTTCACCGTCCTCCCCGCCAAGCAGAAGCCGGCGTTGCTGGTGAGCGTCCTGCGGGCGAGCCTCCGCTAGCGATGGCGAGAAGGCACCCTGCTTGAGGCAGAAGGGGAGGATCAGGGCCTTGGTGGGCGTCCTGGGGGCTGCCCTTTGTAGGCCCCTCATTCCCGTCTTCCGTCAGGCCCGCTTTGTGCTGATCCTCTTGGTGGGAGCCTTCGACGTGAGCTGCGCCGTGATCCTGATTCAGAGCGAGAGCAGGATGGCTTTCCGAGTGGGCGGGGCGTTGGAGAGCCTTCAAGCCCAGTATTTCATGCTGAACCTCTGCTTCTCCATGCTGACCTTTGACCTCCAGGCTCAGGTAGGTCCAGGCTGCAACCACAGTCCTGTTGGAGGCCTAGGCTGGTCCTGTCACTTGGACATGGCGGACGTCCCCCTTTCTGCCGCCAACGACCACCAGGAAGAGAGCCAAAATGCTTCTGGCACGTGCTTGAAAGATCTGCAGGTTGGCCTTTTTCAGCCTGCGGTCCTCCAGGTTGGTCTGGGCTGCAGTTCTAAGTGTTCTGCCGTGGGAGAGGATGGGCCCTGTAGCGGTGTCCCATTGGAAGCCACCAGAATGGGGATGACAGGTAGTTGGTTAACTCTTGAAGTTGGGCAGTTTTAGGACAGGTGTTTACCACGTGTGCGCATGAGAGAGAATTAGAGACCTTTATCCCCATGTTCGTTTTCTGCATCCAGTGAACGTCCTAAACATCAACCCATCCTCAAGAGTTTGGAGACAGAACAGTCTCAAGATGGGGGCCTTTTCTGAATTAATTCTGATTCCATTGTCAAGGCCCTGAGGGCAATTGGCTGTGTCAGTACCTCTTATGCGCAGACTTGGTGGATCCCGTTAAGTTCAAAAAACCCTTTTAAAAAAGAAACCCAGTGCGGGCTGGGCATTCATCATAGAAAACTCACTGGCTGTCGGAAAGGATGAAGAAGAGAGAGGAATGGGACACAGTAAACAAGAAGGGGGCATGGCTGGTTAGCTGAAACGCCAAACGAGCCCCCCGTGCTGCAGCCCCTCCTGCATTCCCCAAGATCCCTGACACTTTTAGGGAACGAATGTCAAGATGTGACCCTGAATCCCTGCTCGATTCAGGGATGGGAGCGTGATCTGCAGATGGGCCCCCGACAGTTGTCTTGCTGAAGCCTGTCTTCCGTTCCCCAGCTGTGTCTGTGTGTCCTGCTGCTGACCACAACTCGGGAGATTTCCAGTCTGCACAGCGTATTCCTGGCTGCTGGGATTTGCTGGGCTATTCTGAAAGTTGCCTGTGGCATCATTGCTGTGAGTATCTTCAGTAGGGCTCACACGAGGAGCAGGTCTGTTTTTTCTGTTGTAGAATTCAGGGGCTGTCCAGTTCTGCTAATGGCCATTCTAGCTCCCTAACCCTGTTCCATCCGTTTGGGAAGAGTTGTTTTAGTGTTTCCTCCTTTCAAAGATGTCCTTTGAGTTTTTTATAGTTAAAACCGAGGTGAAACGCTTGTTTTCCAACTAGTGAGTCTACAGTCGCCCCGTGCATTTGCTTAGGTTTTATAGATTTTAAAAGAGTTCAAACTTGCTATTGTTTTGTAGATCTTAAAAGAGTTAAAACCTCTCGCCTGGATTTTTGTGATTCAGAATTTACCAGAAGTGGCTTATCTCGCATACCTGCTGTATGCGGTAAGTCTTGCCAAATGGTTTACTGATTTAAGAGGGATGTTGGGGAGGGGGTGTTCTCTGTCATTAAAATGTGCCCTGAGGGAGAAGGAAGTTAAGGATGACAGACTTTTCACCCCATTTCCTGAAATGGGTTTCTGAGCCGAAAGGAAAAAGGAAATTCAACTTCCCGGAGCATTTCGGTTCTCTCAAATGAAGCCCAACACGTGAAAAGGCAGGAAATGGGTCATAAGGCAGGTGAACCTTCATGAATGGTGGAAACAAAAATCAGTTGTAAGTCATTCTTTTTGAAATTTGCAGGAGTCCCCTTGGTTATACTGTAATGGCAAAAGTTTGGTCTCTGTAACGTTCAGAACTCAGCCCTAAATAACTTCAGCTGGATCCCACCCAAGGAAATCAAACATAGGCCCAATTCAGACATTCCTTGCTGTGAACCAACTTAAGAAAACATGGGTGCATTCTAACAGTGATTTGTTAAAACCAGGAACAGTCCGTTGCTGGGGCTTCAGCATGCTCATGGCTCCAGAAGTTGGTTTGTTAGCTTCGGTGTTGAGTGAGAACCAACCACGTCCTAGCGATTTCTTTAAAAGTGCAATCTTGCTCCCCTTCCCTTACGTACAGAGGGAGAAGCACCATTAAAGCTTTTTCTGAACACCACAGTCACAACTTCAGTGATTTTGTCAATCCCACTGTCTAAAGAAATGCGGGTAGGCCAGGGAAACAGCGAAATTGGAAACGTGTCAGGATGCCAGCCGAAGGGTCCTTTGGACCAGCCATGGTCAGACGCTCAGGGTTAAAACCAGATTTGTGAGGCTTCACAAAGCCCTTTAATGTCAAAACACTGGAATGTTTCTCCTGGTCACGGCAAAAAAAAAGGAAGGGGAAGGGGAAGGGGAAGGGGAAGGGGAAGGGGAAGGAAAGGAAAGGAAAGGAAAG